TCATCAATCAATTTATATAGAAAAATGTTCAACAATGATTCTATATAAAGATCATTCATTGACTAGCCCAATGATAGTTCATTCACTTGATATCCAAAAAGATCCTTTTCGACCTCGAGAAGATAGTTCATTCACTTGATATCCAAAAAGATCCTTTTTGACCTCGAGAAGATAACGAACAACTACTTAGTCCCGAAGTACCATGTCTTAGTGCCATCGATGCATTGATATATCTTGCTAATAATACTCGACTCGATATAGTCTTTTCTATAAATTTGTTAGCAAGTCATAGTTCTGTTTCAATATAGAGACATTGAAATAAAGTTAAATATATACTACGTTATCTTTGAGGAATAATTGATATGGGCTTATATTACTCCAATAAATCAAATACAAGATTAATTGGTTATGCGGATGCGGAGTTATTTATCCGATCAACACAAAGCTCGATCACAACTCGGTTATATATTTACATATGGAGATCCAGCTATATCTTTGTGTTCTATAAAGCAAACTATAGCTACCACATCTTCAAATCATGCGTAAATATCAATTCATGAGGCAAGTCGAGAATATGTTTGGCTAAGATCAATGATTCATCGTATCCGAGAGACATGCGGTTTATCTACCGATAAAAAAAGTTTCAACAATATCATATGAGGATAATGTTGCTTGCGTAATTCCATTAAAGGAAGAATACATCAAAGTGACAATCCAGCAGATTTATTCGCTAAAGCATTACCTATCACAACTTTTGAGAAGATGATTCATAAGATTAGAATACGTCATCTTAGAGATCTTAAATAATGCCTTCAACATGGGGAGACCAAGATGGGTATTGATGTGTGCAAGAAATATTATATTCTTTTTTCTTCACTAGGATTTTTTTTCCCACTAGGTTTTTTCCTAGTAAGGTTTTAACAAGACATGTTCCTTGTACAATAGACATTCAAGAGGGAGTGTTATGAAATAATGAATGTCCATCATCATGTTCATCTACTTTTCATATCCCCACAACTCATGATTCTTAATATAATTCAATTCATCATTCAATATGAGAAATTGAAAGGGTGATGTAATTGATTGTTCATAGTCCCTTTTAATTTTCTCCTCAATTTTGAAGCCTATAAATAGGCTTGATTGTTCATTAGTTGGTGTACAAGTTTCCTAGAGATAATAAGAAAAACTTTGAAGTTCTTATCACTTATATTCACATTATAGTGAATTCATTTTCTTGTCATCCTTTCCTTCAATTTTCCCATTATTTCTATTTATTTTATAACATTTATATCATTTATTTTATTTTTCAAAATTTTATGTCTTTTTTATGAATTCTCATGAAATTTATTATTTTTATAAATTTAGAAAAAAATAAACATAAAAAATTAAGTGAATAAAATATCATTATGTCAAGAAAAGAAAATGAGTAAAAAATGAAAGTAAAGAATGAAACAAGCATGAAAGAATAAATACAAACAACGAGAGGAGAAATAAAAGCGAGCAAATCGTCATCACCCCATTTTTGTCAATTTCTACGTGATTTTCTCTATATGATATGTGGTCTTCACGTATCCGATTTACTTAACTCGTTTCTACTTGATGTGTTTATTTGAGGTGATGTCAATTTAGATTAGTCTAGATGAATAAGTTTAGGATTTGAAACTAATTTTGTTACAATGATAGATTCTATTATTATTATTATTATTATTATTATTATTATTATTATTATATTTTTTTGCCACTATATTTGTCTTATAGATTAGCTCTAAATTAGTTTTTTAGCCCGTGCTATGCTCGCGGCTTGGATAAAATATATAAAATCGTTTAAAAAAATGATTTCGGTTTAATAGTCCGTTTTATGGTGTGAATCTATAAAAATAAATAAAATCAAAGGTAAAATAATTTTTTACTCAAAAATTTTGTATTTAACTATTTGTTATTTGTGTTTTTCATAATTTTTTCCTTAGAAAAAGGATTTATATATCCTTGTTAATCCATGGATTATTAGCTAAAAGAAAAGTAAATAAATTTTTTTAAAAAAGCTTTAGTATTTCATAAGATTGTATCGAAAATAAAAAATAACAATTATTAAAAACTTACATAGAATTGAACAAATAATTTTTTTTATTTAATGTTGATGAGAATATCGGTTTTGGAAAAAATGTAAATTTATGTTACCTAGTTAATTTATGTACTAAAAAAACCTATTAAATTTTTTACTCCCAAATTTTAATAGAACCCGACATTTAATATAACACAACTCCTTCATTTTGGGATCTAATGGTAATTTAACATGATTTGATAATATATATAATAAACATTTCTAACATACTATTTATCTCACGACAATATTGGATTTGATGTTAAATTGAAATGACTCCGACATTAGGATCCGATGCTAATTTAACATGATTTCACAATAACTAATAAACATTGAAATGAGAGGTGCAAGAGTAAAAAAAAAAAAAAAAAGAATTGACATAGAAATAGAACAAGTTAGCAAGTAAATTTTAGGAATTGACTTTGGAAAGATGCAAAAAAGTTAGTATTGCCCTTGTAGACGTATCGATCAATCAAGCAATTAAAATAGATACAAGCGAGTGAGAGGTATGAGAGTAAAAAAAGAAAATGCTAGCAATGTGAAAATTAATGGCAAATAAATGGATGATCAAATTTCAAACGAGATAGAGGTTTAGATAATGTTTAGTATGTGACTCGAAAAAGCTTTGAGAAAAGAGAGATGGAGTTCAAGGATTTCGCAAAAGATCAAAAGTTGAAATGCCCTCATAATTGCTATGAGGTTGGTAGTTATAATAAAATGATATTCGTTCTTGATCACTAAGATCATGTCACATCATTTATATTTGAAAGATCGGATTTAAGTTGAAAAAATTAGATTTTTTGAGATTAAACTACTTTAATTTGTTAGTAAAGACAAATGAAGTAACAATTGGATATATTTTTTTTTTTCGGAGAATCCACCTCCGTGTCCACAAATCTAATCTTTCTAATACATTTTAAAAAAAGACATGAACACTACTCTAGTCGAATACTCTGCATCCATTTTTATGCAATCTAAAGCCTTATGCATAGCGAGACCCTTCTTTAGTCCCATCCATTTACTATGTACATTGAACCCATACCAAAATCAAGAAAAATAAGTTAATAAATAATAAAATTTACATTATTAATTGATTTTTATAGACAAATTGAACATATATATTAAAAAATATATAAAACTATTTTATTTTCAAAAAATTGTCCTCGTATTTGAAAGGTTCCCATAATATATCTTTGCTCGGAAGCTTTTATTTGTACGAGGTTGGTCTTTTTACTTTTATTTATATTAGTGTCAATCATTTATTTTAAAAGGTTAAAAAAGTTGTCTGTATTGATACATTTAGAGACAATGTTAGATATTCTCATTAGATCCACGACATGCTGACACATTTATTTAGTGTTGGATTAATCACAAATTTTGTGCTTTCCACTCTTAACATGTTTTTAATATGGTCCCTCTACTCAAGAATTTTTCTCCTTCGTCAAGTTTCTGTCCAGTTTACCATTAGCTTTTGCTACATGGATTGATATATCAGATAAAACTAACACGTGTAGTTGTTAAAGTCAGAATAATTGAAATTTAAAAAGAAAAACTTTCTTTAAAAATAAAAAATCCTAATTTGGATTTCAAATTTCTAGTTATTATTTAAATTTTAAAATTTTATTCAATTTTAAAATTTTGATTATTTGAATTTCAAAATTTTGAGCATTTTTCTGAAATAACTTTTATTTCTCAAAATTTTGATTAGTTTTAGAGAATTAGTTGCACTTGTCCTTGTATTTTAGACTCAATCTCCAATTTGTCCTCGTAAATTTAATTCCTGTCAATTATATTTGAGATCGTATTTCAATTTATCCTTCTCATAGATGTTTTCATGCAAATTGACAAAAACATCCTCACTAAAGAAACTCAAACCTCATATAATTTGGTAAAAAAATAAATTTGATAAAAAAAAAAGAAGCTAATTGTCATGTACTGTTAAAATTCATTTTTTTTTCATGGTTAGTTTTTTAATAAATTTGGTTAGGTTTGATTTTTTCACGAGAGGGTATTTTCATTAATTTGGATGAGAATATTCAATAAAAAAATAGATTAGAGAATGATCCTATATTCAAGAGAAAATTAAAAGCAATTAGACATATAGGGATAGATTGAAGACTAACTAATTCCCCTTAGTTTACTTTTGCATTTTATCAAAATTCGAAAAAAAAATTGAAGTAATATTTTTCTTTTATCTTTTTTCAAAATTTCAATTATTTTGATTTTGGAAAATTTAGATATTTTTTTCCAAATTGGATTTTTTTTTTTTTTGACAAATGTCAACTTTATATAACATGTTCATCCATTTGCTAAAAAGTCAACAATAAATTGGACGGGTCCGTTAGTCAACAATAAATTGGACGGCTTCCTAACGAAAGAGGCAAATTAAGAAAAAAATTTAATAGAAGAACCACATAAATTTGAAAAAGAGAAAAAGATAAATTGATGCTGGTACGAGGATAGAGACGGGACCGTGTATGGCGCAAACCCAACATGCATGTGCAGAATTGCAACTCCAACTCAGGTACAGTTGTAAAACTATTATATTGAATTTACTCCGAGGTTTCTTTGTTTAGTCTTCCAATTTAGACAGCTTCTTAGCATCAGAAAATAAATGGCCTCATCTTTATTCTTTTCCATTTTTCCTGTTTTTGTTTGTCAAAAATAAATGAATGAATGAATGCCCATGTGGGCTTGTTTCAGCACAGCATGATAGCACTAATCAAAATGCATGGTTTATATTTACATATTTTCTGTAACATTCTATTAGTAGAAGAAGAATGGTTCATAATTATTGAAAAAATAGTTACAATGAGCTTGGTATGCGAGCCAACACGTCACGACAATAGCCCATGGGACATGAGCCAGGGTCTGTGGTGGGTCAAGGACGCAATAGAAAATGGACCGATATGACACAATAGATCGGCACGACACATATGGATCCGTCTGGCATAGCACAGCTAACTCTACACCTCTTCTTGTAGGTGAAGTGGACTCCATTTCGCTTAACAAGGAGATAGATTGCGAAGTGCTTGGGATGCCAAATGTGATTGCACTTGATCATAGGTTTACCACTAGAGTAGAAAAACTCGTACTGGACTGAATAGTTTAGACCTCAAATTTGATTTCTATACACAGGGATATGAGGGGCTAGGGTCTCCAAGGTTTAATTTGGTCCTTACAGTTATATAAATGATTCAATTATGCCCCTTAAAAAATATAAGTTAGCCCCTCTTAATATTTTATGCCGTAAGAAGTTTTTAACAACAATAAGTGACTCTTCATGTGGTCTTATACATGAATTTACGTTTTTTTTTTCCATTTATTGTGCATTGAAATCGTTTATATGAGGAAAATAAAGTATAATTAAACCATTTTTTTTAGATAATATGAACTGAAAGTGAAAAAAAAAATGAGCTATTAATATGAACAAAACTAAAATCTATAAATGATTCACTTGCATTTTTAACTTAAATAAAACTTTTATTGGCAACTAAATCTGAAATAATAGCTAATATGTCACTATTTTGTGATATTATTTATTTATTACAACCAATAACTCCATAGATTGCAATAATAAATATATTAGTATTTATATATTCTTTCAAGATAGTATATGCACACAAGTATATCATCAATATGAGTCAAATTAATTTTGCTCTCAAATTTAATAAATATATATATATATACTTTACCGTGGACTACCGACGGTGGCTCGAGGCAAATGACTCGCAAATAGCAAATGTGAACCCGACTTGTTAATATGATTTAAACCCACTTATCGGATAGGGTCACAAACCAATTATTCTCAATCCAAACTTCAGACAACTTGAAACTTTTGAATTTGGCCAATTCGATTTATAGATCAACCATTATATTAAATTTTAAGTCTATGAAAACATAATGTAATGAAGTAAAGTATAGGTTTTGGATAGAAACATAAACAATTAAAAAAAAAACTCATTTTTTATTCTCCATTAAGATATATTATTTCTTGTGTTATCTTTTCTTGCATTTCTAACCACTATGTGTGTGTGATGTCTAAGAATACGTGATTTTCCTGATATAGAAGGCATTATCATTTTTTACTCTCCATATAGAAGAAAACATGCTGTGCCAAACTCTAAACTTAAAAAATCTTTTTTACGAGATAATTTTTTTTATAAAGACGACAATGCATATGCAATGTATTTGCCTTTCGCGAGAAAATTTGATATTTTTTAAAAAAACTAAAGGATGATAATCACCTTATTATTTTCTTGAAAAAACAAAAAGAATATTGAAAGATATTATTAGACTGTAAGTTATTCATAGAATTTTAATTTTTAAGTCATTGCTAATCTGAATGTGTATATAGTTTTGTAATTATCATAGTTATATAGTATATCGTAAGCGATACCGTGTGACTATGTGAGTAATTAAAAACTCTCTCTCTCTCTCTAACCTCTTTCAAATTCTTGGGTTGACCTGGTTCTGCCCATTCCGAATGGGTTGAATTTGGATTAAGCATATAGCGACCTGAACCTTTAATACAATCCACACCCTAAGTAACTCGAACCCAAAACAATCTAGCCTTCAACCCAACCTGATTTGAAGATCTATCGTCGCAGCATTGAATAAAAAGGCTCAGGGAGACTCGAACCGTATAAGATGTAACTCTCATCTCCGGTTTTTGAAAATTGAAGTTCATTGGGTAGGGAACTTGACCTTCTCATCGATCCCTATTAACACAACGAAGAAAAGATTTGAGCAACTAACTAAACACTAATGACAAATAATAAGCTGCCATCCATCCCTCTAACACAAAGTAGAAGTAATACACGCTATTCTCTCTACCCTCCATCGGAATATCCTTCGTAGAACGGCTGATTAACAATTCTGAAGCATAAAGTCTCCACTAATTGATCAAGGCTCTGCCTAAGGGGCATGAAATGGATAAGAGAAAAAGGAAAGCTTGATGCATCCGATCCGGTTGAGTAGAAACCTTGAAGATTAGTACAATGAGGATGAAGAAGAGGACAGCCCCTTGAAGCCATAAACCACTTAAAATGATTATTGATGCAAACATCATAGTCCATAACTCATTGACCACCAAAATTCTTAACTACATTAACGGAGCTAAACATCTCATCATATGCAACCCATCCTGCTTAACATAATTTTAACTGGTTCAACATGGAGACCTTAGACATAAACACCGGAAGCAAGTAACAGGAACAAAGACCCGAAGCCCTGCACCAGAGACATTGGAGATTAGATAGAGCAATGAACCGAAATTTACAATAACAAATCAGAAGGTGGAAGAATAACAAATGCAAACATCATACCAGAAAGAAAGAGGCCAATGCTCCTGTTGTAAGCTCCTTGGCCAAACTGCGAGTTCTCCTAGAAGAGGTTGCTTCATAACTGCATAAACAACGGTGTATAACAGTTAAAAAGAAACCTCAAAAGAGATTGCACACAAGTTATCCATGGTTTTACAAGCAATAGCTGCCTACAAGATCATGAACAAGTCATGAATCACGATAATACCTTGTTGCACTAGTGGTTTCCAAAGTATGCATGCAATACAAGTACACCTTACCACAACATTTTAGGAGCAGCTTGATAATGCAATGCATGTTGATACACACACATTATTATTACTGTATATAAATATTTAGGAGGAGGAGGAGGAGGGAGGATGTTTGAAGATGGTACTTGTAATAATTACTCTGCATCAAAGTTTAAATCAAATTTACAAATAAATAAATAAATAAAATTTGGTGGAGTAATAATATAAATAGAAGAGGAGCAGAACAAGTAAAGATCATTGAGGAACAAATCAATTAAATAAAAAATCACAACTCTCTTCGACTTTCTTTTTTTTTTTTGGGCAATTTACATCTAGTGGTACTGGTAATGCATCAAAAGCAAAGCCGAATAATAATTCATTTCAAATAAACGGAGGGATTTTAAAAAATATCATAGCTTACATGAAGAAGGAAGCAGTGACAATAAGGCCGATGGCGAGCATGAAGAATGCTAGGGTTGGGTACCATGCCACCGGCACTGGACTCGTAATCGCTGCCTTTGAACCCTTCAATTCAATTCAATTCAATAAGAAAAACAACGAAAATCAATTCAATTTTTAACATAAAATAATTGATCTGATCATACCATTGATTTAGATCAGCTATTCTTTCTTTCTGTTTGTTTTTTGAGATCCTGTTAATCTCAACCTACGGTAGTAGTTGACTTGACGATACAGCCAACCAGATCTGCTCTGCTCTAATTTTACTTTACGGCTCCTAGCGATAGAAATAAAGGAAGGGAAGCGGACATGGCTTTTCAGCCAACATTTAGTTGGGCTTTGGACGTACTTGCTTAGTCCAACCCATTTTTAATATTAAACATCATTTGTTATTTATCCATAATACAACTTCTTCTTCTTTTTCTTTTCTTTTTTTTTTTTTTTGGTTTGAAAAAAAATAGCTTTACATTCTGAGAAATTTATTAAAATTTTTATAAAAGAAATAGAAACTATAAGAGAATTGAAGAGAAAGATGATAGAAAAATAGATTCACTATAAAATAAAGAAAATACAACGGATAACAACTCTAAACAATTCTCTCAATTTCTACAAAATGCTTGTATACAAGCCGATGAACAATCAAACCTATTTATAGGCTTCAAGATTAAGAAGAAAATTTGAATGGACTATGAACTATTAAAAGATACATAAATAATTGAATAAATTACATCACCCTTTTAATTTTCAATTTCTCATATTAAATGGTCATTTGAATCACATAAGTAGTAAGAATATGAAAAGGACATTCATTATTTCATAACACTCCCTTTTGAATGTCCATTGTATAAGGAACGTTAAAACCTTATTGGAAAAAAAACCTACTGGAAAAAAATCCTAATGAAGGAAAAAGAGTACAATGTTTCTTATACATATTAATCTTTATGCTCGGGCTCCCTTGTTGAAAACATCATTTAAGATCTTTACGATGATGCATCTTCGTCTTATAAATCATTCTCTTAAAATTTATGATAAGTAATGCCTTAGAGAATAAATTCACCGGATTGTCACTTTAATGTATTCTTCCTTTAATGGAATAATACAAGCGACATTATCTTCATACAAAATTGTTAGAACTTTTGTGCTCGGTAGATAAACCGCATGTCTCTCAAATATGATGGATTATTGATTTTAACCAAATACATCCTCGATTTACCTTATGAATTGCTAATATTTTTGCATGTTTTGAAGATGTGGTAGTTGTAGTTGTTTTCATATAACGCCATTTTATAGCTATATCTCTATATGTTAATACATAACTAATTTGTGATCGAGCTTTATATGAATCAGATAAATAACTCGCATCCGCATAACCAATTAATCATGTTTTTGATTTATTGGAATAATATAAGTCCATATCAATTATTCCTCGGAGATAACGTAGTATATATTTAATTTCATTCTAATGTTTTTATGTTGTAGTAGAACTATAACTTAATAATAAATTTATAGAAAATACTACATCGGATCGGGTATTATTAGCAAGATACATTAATGCACCAATTGCACTAAGGCATGGTACTTCAAGATCAAAAAGTTCTTCGTTATCTTCTAAAGGTCAAAAAGGATATTTTTTAAATATCAAGTGAATGAACTACCATTGGACTAGTCAATAGATGATCTTTATATAAAGTAATTGTAAAAATTTTTCTATATAAATTAATTAATGAATGAAAATATCATTCTCTAAGTGCTAGAACCGTAGGTTAAGATAAAAGTTTGTTTTCCAAGGTATTCACATCAAATTCTCTTTTTAAATAACTTATGACACTTTGAATCTCTTCGGGAGTACCAATAATATTTAAATCATCAATATATACAACAATCATGACAAACCTTTTTTTGAATTTCTTTATAAAAATACTAGAAAAAATATGATTATTTTTACAATCTTCTTTAAAAAATATTTATTGAAGCAATTATACCATATGCACACAGAGTTAGAAATAAATAACGGATATTTATAAATAAAATTAAATATAAAAAGTATAGCATAAATTGAATTTCTAAAAACTAAAATAATAAAACAAATACTAAAATAAATTCGATAGAGATCTCTATAATTTAATTGAATTCATTTCTCGAAAATATGTATTTCATGCTTCAAGAATCTTAAGTCATTTTAGAACTTTCATATAGACATCATTTTTAACCGAACAAATAAGTTGTGATCATATCTATTAAATATATGCATATGGAGTTATTCACATATTTTGTCAAACTAAAAAGATAACATAATGTAATTACATCCATTGCAGGACAATATATCTCTTTAAAGTTAATGTCATGTCCTTACAAAAAACTTTTATGTTACCAGTCTTGCTTTGTATCTCATAATCTCATCTTTCTTATTTTGTTTTCGTAAAAATACTCATTTATATTACACTAGCTTAACATCTTCGAGTGTTTTGACTATGAGTTTAAAAACTATTTATTTATAAGAGAACATAATTCCACATGGATTATTTTTTTCATTTAGGTCAATCATCTCTATATTGATATCTTTCAATAAAGTTAGGCTTAGGATCCTTATTTTCATTCAATATATCAATTGTAACATTATATGCAAAAAAATCTTATTAATAAATGTTTCTTTTCGATCATTTTTTTTTCCGTATTGACATAATTTATTAAAATCTCTTGTTTTTCCTCTTGCATTTGGACTTCTTCTGAAGCCTATTATCGAAATATCTTGGATCGTTTTGTGAATATTTTCTTTCTTTATATTTTCATCTTGATTATTTACCCTTTTCTTTTGGAGATTTTTATTTTTAGAACCAATCAATCTTCCATGCTTCAAGCATGCTTTAGATTGCCTTTCTAGGACATCAATTCTACTAGGAGTATTCACAGCGAGGACATGCATTTTAGTTACTTATTTAGAATCTAAGAATACATCCGACGGTTGGTTTGCAATACCTTGTAAATGAATTATCTTTTGAATTTCTAGTTCACATTATTTTGCATGAGGATTAAATGATATAAGATAGAATACTCCATGTAATTTTTTTTAAATATTTTCAACTACTTATTTTGCTTATTCTCTTCCCTAATGTTAGAAAAAAAATTTTCATCAAAATGACAATTGATAAATAGAATTATAAAAATATCTCTTGTTCATGGTTTGAAATATTGAATTATCAAAAAAGATTCAAATTCAACATATATTTTCAATCTCCTTTAAGTGCCTAATTTAGTTAGTTATGCGAGAGCACTACGGATATTTACTCGCAATGCTAAAAATTCTTAAATAAAAAATATTTAGGCTCATGACTATAAATCAATTGAAAGGAAGAGAATTTCGATAGCTTATGAGTCCGATACGAATAAGTGTTGCAGCATGTAAGATTGCATGTTCCTAAATATAAACAAGGAGTTTTGATTTTAAATAATGGTTTAGCTATCAATTGGAGCCTTTTGATAAATGATTTTACTAAACCTTTCCGAGTATGAATATGAGCAACAAGATGTTCAACATTTATTCTAATAGCCAATCAATAATCATTTGATGCTTAGAAGATAAATTCACCAAGCATTATCAAGGTGAATTGTTTTAATGGCATAATTTAGAAATTATGCTTGTAATTGAACGATTTGAGCTGACAATCTCAAAAACATCGGGTTTCAAGTAGATAATAAATATATATATGTGACCATTTTATGGATGAACCTAGTAAAACCAAAAATATCTAAATGATCCACATGGTGGATGGATTAATCCATATATATCACCTTAAATACATTCTAAAAATGCTAGAGATTCAATCTCAATTTTACTTAGTGATGACTTAGTAATTAATTTGCCTTGAAAATATACAAAACATAAAGATTCATTAAATTGAAAAATCTTCTAAATTTTTAATAATTTTTCCGATCATGAAAAACCAAGGATAACATAATTGATCATACCACATAATAAAAGTATTTAAATTAGTAAACTTTGGGTTTACTATAACATTTATTTCAATCATTCAAATGTTTGTAATAAAGATTAGAAGAAAAAACGGATAATTTCTCTAATACATATTTTCTATTCTATGTAATTATAATATTTAAGTATTCAATATTTTTCATATTTGTTGTCTTAGTATGAAGTTTATTAAGACAAATAGCTTTGAAACTCAATAAATTTCTATGAGACTTTAGAGAGAATAATGCATTTTTATAATACAATTTGTCCATCAAGATAATAATATATTTGCCCTTCCGAAGCTTTTAAATTATGTCACTTCAATTAATAATATATTCACTCTTCTAAAGTCTTTAAAAGTTGTCTCTCCAAGTAATAATTTATTCGCTCTTTTAGAGCCTTCAAAATTTGTCTATTTAGATAATA